TCCCAGCTGCTGGTTATTAACTGTATAGTCTTGGAAAAGCAATTCAACCTTTTGTGTATCTGTCTCCTCATCTGTAAAGTGGGGATAATAATAGGTCTTGTCACATAATATTGGGGTGAAGATGAAACCAGTTTATATGTATAATTTGGTTGGTGCCTGACGTATCTTAAGTTTTCCTCGTTACATTTTCTTTCAAGTATGGCAGACACTCTGTTGAGTGATTTCACACATGGGATTGTATTAAATCAGAGACTACAAATCATGAAAAAGGGATGGTTATCTACTCCATGTTACAGATAATCTATATCTCAGAGAAGTGACTTGCCCAAGGTGATATAGGTAGAATTTGAATGAAAGTATGGACTCATTCCTAGTTTGGGAATAGTAACAGGCCAAACATTAGACCCTCTATTTTCCTCTTCTTTCCCAAACTAGGGAGAGAAGGCTCCAGCTCTGACTTTAGTTTCCTCTACTGGGATTGTCCTCTTCCCAGCTCATAGTTGTCTCCTAGTGCCCCACCCATGCCCCAATGGCCTTGCTTCTGTCTCATTTGGGATCATTTTCTAGTAGAGAGAGAAAACTTAGAATGTGGCAAGCTTGTGATATGTCAGAATCTTGAGAGTGGATAGACAAATCTAGTGAGAGGGACAAATCAGAGTTGATGATGCTTATCGCAGTACCTACTATGCATTGACTACTTGCTATGCATCAGGCTGTGTCCCAAATGTTTGAGAGTCTTATCTTTAATCCCCACCATAACCAAACCAGGTAAGGGCAATTGTTCCCTTTTCCAGATAAGAAGACCAAAGCTCAAATGGATCATGTGGCCTGCATAAAATCACACATCCAAAGTGATAGAGTTCGTATACAAACCTAGATTTGTCTCACTCAGTTTTGACTAGTTTCCTACTGGTTCAGTATAGTTGATAAGAGGAACCTAATATATGTAGAATAATGATGAGCCATATAAAACATTATATTATCATGGGCTAGACTGTTAGGACTAGATTACAAAGGATAAGCTCCCTGGAGAAGATGGTCCTTGAGCAGTACTTTGAAGAATAGGTAGGGTTTAGGTCAATAGAATGGGAGAGCATTCTAGGCAGCAGGAGCAATCAGTATTAACTAAAATTGGGTAAGAGCTACAACATCTTGTTCTAAGCATTTAACATGCATTGTCTCATTTGATCTTTATAACCCCAATAATTAGGTACTGTTATCCCCATTTTACTGCATGGAAAAGCTAAAAATGGTGGAGCTGGGATTCAAACCAAGTTGGTTCAACTGTAGTTCCTGTGCTAGATTCTAGTGGAAAACCAACAGCAAAGGCACAAAACTGGTTGCAGGGACATGAGAGCAGAGGCATGAGAGATTGGACTCGGTCTATATAAAATAGTTTATAGAAGACTTTGAAGGTCTCATTTAGTTTATATTTGAAACAGGACAGGATGAGAAATAGGGAAACAGTGAAGAGTCTTGACTAGGAGAGTTCCTCAATTCAACTGATGTTTGACAGGATGTGATCTAAAATCAGTGACTGGGAGTGGAATTGTTGGGTCATATGGTAGCTCCATTTTTAACAGTTTGAGGAACCTCCATACAGCTTTCCATAGTGGTTGGACCAGTTTGCATTCCTACCAGCAGTGCAGGAGAGTTCCTTTTTCATTACATCCTCACCAACATTTGTTGTTGCTAGTTTTTTTGTTTTTTGTTTTTTTGTTTTTAATATGTGCCATTCTCACTGGTGTAAGGTGGAATCTCATTGTGGTTTTGATTTACATTTCCCTGATTATGAGGGATGTTGAACACTTTTTCATATACCCATTGGCCATTTGTATTTCTTCTTTGGAGAAGTGCCTTTTTTGCTCTTCTGCTCATTTTTTGACTAGATTGTTCACTTTGTTTTTGTTGAGTCGTGTGAGTTCTTTATCTAAAGGACACACAAACATTAATTCAAAAGGATACCTGCACCCTTATGTTTATTGCAGCACCATTTATAATAGATAAAATATGGAAACAACCCAAATGCCCCAAAATAGATGACTGGATCAAGAAGATGTATATATACACAATGGAATACTATTCAGCAGTCAAAAAAATAAACTCATGCTATTCACAGCAACATCGATGGAGCTAGATGGGATTATGCTCAGTGAAATAAGTCAGAAGGAAAAAGAAAAATATCAGATGGTTTCACTTATAGGAGGAATATAGGGGAGCCAAATAAGGTATCAGGGGAAAAATAATAACAAAAAAATTAATAGGCAATGATAAATCAGAGACATTCTGCAGGGGAGGGGGAGGGAAAGGGATAAAAACAGGCGGGAAGATCAAAAGGGACTATGGCAATGGTGCACGGATGAAGTGGTAGGGGGAATTCTATGGGGATCACACCAAAAAGGAGAAAGCAAACATTGTACAAAAATGAGCAATAATGTAAAATATATGTAATAAATAAAATATATTTAAAAATAAAATCAGGGTCTCCCCTGGTGGTGCAGGCAGTTGAGCACCGTGCTGTGAAGCTGTCCACAGCTTTGCAGCGCCAGTTCGATCCCCACCAGCCTGCAAGGGTCCCACATGGCACGGCAGACCTCTCCTGTTGTGCCTGCTGCTCCCCTCAGTAGTGTATTTCGTCAGTCTGCCTGTTCTGTTCCCCACTCTGTCTCTGGTGAATCCTCTCACCCTCCCACGAATCTGGCCTGTACCCGGGTTCTTGTATAAATAAATAAAATAAATCTTAAAAAAAAAAGTTTCCTAAAAAATAAAATCAGTGACTGGGAGTGAGACAAGGGGAAACTGATCAGACTGATGCAGTATTTTGTACATAAGGTGCTAAGGACCTAGAATAGAGCAGGAGGACTTGATGGCAGGTTCCATGTAGGAGAAGTGTGGGTATGGGGAACAGTCTCAGTGAAGAGACATAAAAGATTCAGTGGGGCTCTGAGAGGGATTAGATATTTGGGGAGAAGGTGATAATGTGGCTGACCATATGTTACAAACCCAGGACTCAGAACTTCAGCAACTTTACATGTGGAAGAAGGGTCCAAAGTGGTAGTAGTTAGTGCTACTTTGAGATGCTTTATACTTAATTCTTGATGGATGACTACCCAGTAATAGCTGCTGGAGAGCTTTCTAGCATCATGGCTTTGTGCAAGACTCTGGAGCAGACAATCCCCACACCAGGCCATCTTCTGCCTTCAGCTTCCCTGTTGGGCATTTGGACATTCGTAAAATAACAACGTGGTTTAAAGTGGTGGCCTCACCTGGCTTTCTTCCCCATAAATCTTAGTCACTGCTGCTGACCTATGGCTCTGGTTCCTGACCTTTGACAAGCAACTTCCCCGTCTTTCCTCTTACCCCTCCTTGTCTATGTCTGGCCTGTTACCACTCAACCTGTGTTTTCCTCAGCAATGCCATTCTCCTCAGGACTACCTTTTTAGGCTTTAGCCCTCTGGAGCCTTGCACTACTGGGATATTCTGTGCTTCCGCTGGGGTGAGGGACATTCCCAGTTGGGTGGAATTCAGCTTATCTGTCCACCACTGCTCCTGGGAGGCATGGGGATGATTTATCCCAGCCTATGACACACTTGTTGAAAACAGGAACCCTTATCTTAGTCAACTCTGTAAGCTCTGTGTCTAGTATAGAGCCTTCTGTAGTAAATAGGTGGATACATTAGTCAATAAGTGATCATCTTTTTCTCTCTGTTGTCTACTTATTTATTGTCCGTTTCTTTATCTTTGCCATTCATCTCTCTGCCATCCCTTTCTGTCTACTGTGTATTAATCTTTCTCAGAGTTTGTCCCCTTTCTGACATTTGGTTTTGTATCATCTTTTTCTCCTTTCATTGCCATCTACCTGTCCCTTCCATCACCTACCTTTTCTTATTCTCTCCTCTCTCTTTCTCTCTCTCTCCCCTCTCTCTCTCTCCCTTCCCCTGGCTGTCTCCCCTTCTTTCCCTCTCTCCCTCTCCCTCTTCCCTCCCTTTCTTCTCTTTCTCCCCTTCCCTCTCTCATTCTCATCCCAGCCCCCAACCCACTCTCTCTCATCATTCTTTTCTTTATTTAGCACCACCTATGCACCACACATGCTGCTTCCTATACCACCCTTCCCCACTTGCAAGGGTGGCATCTAGTCATATGAGATATACCAGAGGCAAGGATGGTCCTGTATAAGCTGGTCAGTGCAAGAGTCATGACTCCAGCTTCCAACACTACACAGACCCCAGGGTTGCACATAGGGCCCTGGCCTCAGACCCGTTTCCATTGAGTCACCCCTGCTGCTGAGCAGCCAGTCTCCTCTGTCAGCCTAGCTGCATCACTTACCACATTGTTCTATTTATTGGCTGCAGTTGAGGCTCTTTGCTGCCACATTGCCTACAAACTCAGGTGTCTCTGTGCCCATCTTACCCTTCATTCTCTCAGTGCCTTTACCATGCTTTATACTGGAATTAGCTCTGTTTCTCTCACTGATCTGTAAACCATAAAGGGCAAAGATTATATTTAACTGATCTCTCTGTCCCCAGAGCAAAACAAAGATGTTTACTCTGTAAATATACAACAAATGATTATCAAATGAATGAGCAAAAATTAGAGAATTTATAGCCCACTATTGAATTGTTTGAACTTCTTAATCCCTTATTTTTTCCTTCCTTAGAAAAAAATGAGAATATTGGCAGATTGATTTTTTTTTTGTAATTTATTGCACAGATGTTTATTGAGCATTTTCTATGTGTCTGGCGCTATTTTACGTGTCTGGGGTACATCCATGAGCAAAACAACCCTATGAAACTAACAACCCATATCTCCAGGGATCACTCTTAGGATGAAGGATATTTAAGTATTGAGAGCTTAGGAGGGCCACGAAGATTCCCACACCAGCTCCTTGCAAGATGTTCTACTTCATTAAAGGGAAAGCGGGGGTGGGGGAGGAAGCTGCCTTGGGAAGTGATTTCAACTCTGGTTCCCTAAGCTGACTTCCTGCCCCTTTCTTGCTGTAGGAGAAACGCCCCTGTCAGTAGGCCGCACTCATGGCATGTGGCCAAGCTGCTGGAGGGATGCCCTGAAGTGGCTACCACCATGCATTTCCCTTCTGAAGCCTTCAGCTTGTCCTGGCATTCCGGCTGCAACACAAGGTGAGTCTAGAACCTCCCCCTCAAGATGGGGTATAGGCTAGACCTTGCCACTCTTCCTCTGCTCCAGTCTCTGTTGGACGTTCTAGAGCCCAGAGCAGTGTAATGGGAAATGGAGGGGGAGGCTAGAGTACCTGGGTTCTAACCCTAGTCTCCAGCTAACTCACTGACGAGCTGGCCCCTTTCCTTCTGGAAAAGGTTTCCTTAAAATACTTCCTCTACTTGGCTGCCAAGAGACCACACTCTCCTGTTTTTCATCCTGTTGTCCTGGTTGCTCCTCTGCAGTCTATTTTCCTGATTCTCCTCATCCCCTGGTTTCTTAATGTAGGAGGACCCCAGGACCTACTCACTTCTGGTCCTCTTCTTCCCTGTGGTGACTGATACTCTCATCCAGTGTCCACCCACTTTGTCACAGAGCTAAAACCACTTTTCAAAGTTTTGGTACCTCATAGGTGCTGTTCTCGGTTGCTGTTTTCATTGCAATTGTTATCAACATCCTCTCTAACACTACCACTGAGACTTTAATGGTACCTGCCATCCATATCTCCCTCATCCCCCAGAGCAAAACCAAATTGAGGAAACCAAGGAGAAAGTAAGATCAGACACAATTTTGACTTTCAAGTACCATTTCCCAACCACAAAGCCAAACTAGGCCAAGTCATGCCAGTAACTCCCTCTGATTAGAACCCCAGAGGTTGCATGCTGTTCTCAGAAAGGTCACAGTTCAGAAGCCAGAGCTGAGCAATGATAGGAGCTGCGAGGTCCTCAGGTCAGTCTCCCCTAATTATTGTTGCCTGCCTTGCCCCTTAGCCACTCTGCTTACTTGACCTCTGGACTGGGAATCCATCAAGTCCTTGTTGGCAAGGGGACCTGCTACCCATCCCCCACCCTTCCTGCTGAAAACAACCACACCCCCACTCTGGCTCAGAATGTGTATTCTTCCAGAACAAAACTGCCTCTGCCTCTACCCTGAACTCCTGGTTTCTGATGCCAAGTAGTCTCTGCATGGGGGTAAAGTCAATCCTTAGCTTCCTTGAGCCTCCTCAACAGAAATCACTTCTTGGATGGAAGGTCTTGTTTGGAAGGGAAGAGGCAGCCAAGGCCAGCAGGTTTGCTGACTGGGAGCTGACTGAAAAAGTTTTCAGCTTCTTCTGGGCCTCTGTTTCAACAACAGTTAATAAATAAATACCAACTTCCTTGAATTGAGTGATCCTCATGGCAGGTAGACCCTGTTGTTCACGGAGGTCCTTATTCTGAAGGCTTTCTGTGGCAGCCTCTGGAATGTAGAGCTGGCTGATTTTGAAAAAAATGCCTTCCTCGAAGGTAGTAAAAATCATTTCCCTTTGTAGAGCTTGCTTTGGGACAGTGGTCTGTGTGACCCCTGGACCAATAGTGCCAGGATCACGTGGGAACTTGGTAGAAGGACAAATTCTCAGTGTCCACCAAGACCTAAAACTCTGGGGATGAGGCCCAGTCACTTGTATTTTTACAAGTGTTCCATAGGATTCTGATGCACACTCAAATTGGAGAACCTCTGATTTGCAAAATGGGCTGGCTGAAATGGAATCAGCCCTTCGGGGCCCCTCTCCAAAGCTAATACTCTGTGATTGCCTCTCCTGGCAGAAAGCTACGTGCTGACTCCCAGGGACGGCAGAGAGGTTAGAAGCAGTGCTAGACTCACTGACAGCAGAGAAACGGAACATAACCCCCAGCGGTGTCCTCACTTTTGGTCTTTGGGATCTTTCCACTCCTTCTTCCATATGGCATCTTTTTTTTTTTTCTTTTAACATACTAATTTATTGACAAATACTTATAAAACAAATAAATACTATGTTCCAGACACTATTTTCAGCATGAGAATGTATCAGTAAACAAGAGGTATACCACATGTCCTCATGAACTTATAAGACAATAAACAAATAATATATAGTATACATAAAATCTATATCAAAATACGATGAATTAATTTTTTAAATTTATTTATTATTATTTTTTTAAATTTTATATATTTTATGGCATCTTATATCTCATTTCACCATGCCACTGTGGCACCCCATTCATTGTCCATGACTTCCCCAGTTTCCTTCCTTCCTCTACCTCCCCTCCCTTCTTTTTTTCCTTCCTTGCTTTGTCTCCCTCTTGTCTGTGGCGTGGGTGCCTCTGGTTTATTCCACCTTCTCCCATGGCAGGACTGCCCAAAGTGGGAAGGAAATCTGGTAATTTGGCTAACTAACCAGTGTGCCCTGTGTCTTGTAGTGACGTGTCTGTGCAGTGGTGTCCACTTTCCCGGCACTGCAGCACTGAGAAAAGCAGCTCCATTGGCAGCATGGAGAGCCTGGAACAACCAGGCCAAGCCACCTATGAGGGCCACCTCTTGCCCATTGACCAGAATGTGTACCCCAACCAGCGTGACTCAGCCTACAGTTCCTTCTCTGCCAGCTCAAATGCCTCTGACTGTGCCCTTCCCTCAGGCCAGAGGAGCCAGCCTCTGCAGACTGCATCATGCAAGGCCCAGGGCCAACTAAGGCCCCCAGTGGCCGGCCTAATGTGGTTGAGACTTCAGGAGGTAGCCAGCGCGCCAATGGGGGCCACCTGACTCCCAGCTCCGAGATGTCATCCTGCCCACAAGAGAGCCACCACTCAGGGCCTACCAAGGCCACCAGGGGCCCACCACAACCTCCAGTGAGACGAGACAGCCTTCAAGCCTCCAGAGCCCAACTCCTCAATGGAGAGCAGCGTAGGACTTCTGAGCCTGTGGACTCATTGCAGCAAGAGAAGCCAAACTTAGAGACTGTTCTGTCCCCAAGGATCCCTAACAGGCTTTGCTGCCTCAGTGGGCAGGACCAAGTGACAAGTGAGGGCCATCAGAACTGTGAGCTCAGCCAGTCTCCTGATTCCAGCCAGGAGGACTCCAAGCATCTAATGCTAGAGGCTTCAACCAAAGGTATTGGGAAATATGACAAAACTTCCAGCACAGATTCCAGCTCACTCAACAAGGCTCCAGCCAAGCTAGTGAAGGCTTCTTCCTTTGGCAGCCCTTCACCCATCACAGGACCCCAGGGCATCGCCACAGTGCCCCAGAACAGCTGCTGGCATCCCACTTGCAGCGCATGCACCTTGAGACCAGAGATGGCAAGAGATTGGAACTCCCAGCTGGGCAGGATGGACATGAGTGGACTCTGTCCCCTCTGCATAGTAGCCACCTGGGGAAGAAAAGCCCATGTCTCTCTGCAAGAGGTGCCCAGGACCAGCCCAACAAAGAGAAAAAGGGCAGGCCAGTGGATGATAGGCCTTTGGGTTCAGGGCACCTGAGTCCAGGCAGCTCCCAACATGGTAAAGCTGATGGACACCCTCCAGAAAGAGGTTTTCTGGACCCAAACAGAGCAAGCCGAGCAGGCAGCGAATTGGCCAACCAGCAACCCTCCACTTCTGGCTCCCTTGTTCAACAAACCAGAAACTGTTCTTCAATCACCAAAGTAGCTGGTGGCACAGAAGCAACTGAAGAAGGGAATGATGAGCCCAAGGGGTACAGCCAGATGGGTGGGAAGCGAAATGGAGGGGCCCGGGGCCGCTCAATCCAAAACCGGCGGAAGAGTGAGCGTTTTGTACCAATCTGCGTAATGAAATTCAGAGGCGGAAGGCCCAGCTCCAGAAAAGCAAGAGTCCCTTGCTTTGTGATACTAAGGAGCCAGTGGAAGAAACTGAGGAGCCACCAGAAAGTCCGCCACTTCCTGCCTCTAATTCATCTTTCCTATCTTCTTATAAAAAACCACCGAGCCCCAGAGACAAGGCCTTCAATAAGAGTGTGATGCTCAGGGCTAGGTCTTCAGAGTGCCTTAGTCATACCCCTGAGATCCATGAACCTAGGACAGGCTTGGGGGGACGAATAAGTCCTGCCCAGAGTCCTGGCCAGATCTCTTTGGGCCTAAACTCCTGGTGGAAAGTCTCTGACCCATCCTCCTCAGACTCTGAGAAAACAAATGTTCACAGTGGAGCCCGGGGAGGTCACTGGAGATGGTCTCCAGAGCACAACCTGCAGTCCCATATGGCAGTAGCCATGGAAGGCCCTTCCAGCCCAGGAGGCAACAAGGAATTGAAGGTTTCTACAGCCCAAGCTGGGGAGGAAGCCATCCTCTTGCCCTTTGCAGACAGACGAAAGTTTTTTGAAGAGAGTAGCAAATCCTTATCTACGTCTCACTTGCCAGGTTTAACTACTCATAGCACCAAGAGTTTTACCCAGAAACCGAAAGCCATGGACCAAAACTTCCAGCCAATGAGCTCCAGCTATAGGGAATTGAGGCGCCATCCATTGGATCAATTGTATCATTCTACGGACCAACCATATCATGCCACAAGCCACTCATACCATTCCATGTCACCCTCTCAGTCAGAAACTCCCAGTTATTCAGAATGTTTTGCGAGCAAAGGTCTAGAGAAACCCATGTGTTGTAAGCCACTGCACTGTGGTGATTTTGATTACCACAGGATCTGCTCCTATTCCTGCAGTGTCCAGGGAGCCGTAGTCCATGACCCTTGCATTTATTGTTCTGGGGAAATCTGCCCTGCTTTGCGAAAGAGAAATATGATGCCAAACTGCTACAACTGCCGGTGCCACCACCATCAGTGTATCCGGTGTTCAGCTTGTTATCATAATCCTCAGCACAATCCCCTCGAGGACAGCAGCTTGGCACCTGGCAACAGTTGGAAACCCAGGAAGCCAACAGTGCAGGTGAGGCCTTGGTTCTTGCAATGGGTGAGTTTCACTGTTCCCTTTGTGAAGAGAATATGTGGTAAATCTTTTGAAAATGTAAGTTATCGTTCTTTAAAAGTATACAACCCTGATTCACCTTGGGCAAAACACTCAGCCACCAAAATTGCAGTTCCCTCATCTTTAAAGTTAGATGAAATTAACTTTTCCTTCGTAGAATGGAAAGAACTGAAATGTGTATCCGGTCTATGTGATTGGTATCTAAGTGACCTAAGCAAATCATTTACCACCCAAATTTGCAGTTCCATGATGTTTAAAGGGGAAAAAAGCATTTTTGCCTCATAAAATGGCCATTATTAAGAAAAGTCTTATCACCTCATCACTAAAGTGGGAGAAAATAATGGCTGCCTCATGGATTAGTTGTGAGAATCAAATGAGATTTTGTATGTAGTGTGCCAGACCCAATACCTAACGGAAAATAATATTTATTCCCTTCGAATGCTGGTTTAATTTTGGAGTTGCACAATTTCCAAATGTCTCCCAAGCTTTGCTTTCAGAGTTCTGATTTGTCCAGTTTTCTGAAGAATAAATCCTTCCCCCACTTCTACCTCTGTCTGAGAACCCAGACCTGTACTGACAGATGCTACACCCTGGTTATGACCTACCACTGTAATAAAAGCCACCACCATCTCCTAGGGTTGTCGTAGAAGAAACCACCCCCCACCCCACCATGTCTTTGTCAGTTCACTGCCAGATTTCTTCCTCAAGGCTTCCCTAGTGTCACCTTTTGACTGGTGCAATCAAGTCAGAAGTTAATTCTTGTGTGGAGCCTGTGTTAAACAGGCAGAAACTTCTGAGTGACTTAATGTATGAAATTGCTCAGCACATGTTCATTGACAAAAGGAACCTTAAGGGTGAAAGCAGGCTACCCAAAAGAGTGCATACTCTGTCACTCCCTCATTTATTTTATGTGAAGTTCTAAAACAGCTCTTCTATGGGAAGAATTCAAGACTGGTGGCCTATGGGAAGTGGCACCAAAACTGGTTAGAAAAGGACCAGAGGGAACTTTGTTGGGTGATGGATGACAGTGATCTACATCTTAATAAGAGTTTAGATTGACAAAGTGTATACGCATCAGAACTCCACAAAGGTACACTAAATATGTGTGCATTTCAGTGGAAGTAAATTTGGCCTAAAATACTGTACACAAATACTGAACTTTACTTAATGATAGATATGCTGAACTATTTGAAGTATGTTGGTATATACAACTTATTTTTTTTTAATTTTCACTATACAAATGTTACATATATTTTGTTATATATGTTCCTAAGATTTCATAGTTTTTGGTGCTAATGTAAATAGCATTGTTTTCTTAATATCAAGTTAAAATTCTTTGTTACTGTTACATAGAAGTGCAACTAAACTTTTTTTACATTTGCATTGTGTCCTGCAACCTTACCAAAGTCATATATTAGTTTGAGTAGCTATGTGGTAGATTTTTAAATCATTTTTACATAGAACTGTGTCATTTGCAAATACAAAAAAAATTTTGTCTTTCTTTCCACTGTGTATGCTTTCTCTAGGGAATAGGAAGTCCTTATTACACTGCCTGGAACCTACAATACAATGCTTGGTAGAGGTGGTAAGAGTGGATAATTTTAGTTGAAGCAGTAAGAGCAGAAAGCTTTGTTCCTGACCATGTTCCTTAACAGATTGAGGAGGTTCTTCTGTGTTCCTGGTTTACTGTGAGCTTTTATCAGGAGTTTTTCTCTATTTATTGAGGTGGTCCTATAATTTTTCCCTTTTAGTCTATTGACATGGTAAATTACATTGATTGTTTTTTGAAATAAGAACCAGTCTAACCTTACTAGGCTAAATCCCATTTGGTCATGATACATTATCATTTTTATGTTACTAAATTCAATTTGATTAAGGGTTTTTGTGTCTATGTTGGTCAAGGATTTTACTTTGCAATTTTCTTGTAATGTACTTGCCTGGTTTTCATAATAAGTTGCTGGCTTTACCAAATGAGTTGGGAGGTAGTCCCTTCTCTTCTATTTTTTTGGATGATTTTGTGTAGAATTGGTATTATTTTTCCCTTAAGTGTCTCACAGAACTCATCATTGAAGTCATCTGGACTGGAGCTCTCTTTGTAGAAATATTTTTAACTACAAATTCAATTTCTTTAATAGATACAGAGTCACTGAGATTATCTGTTTCTTCTTGAGTGAGCTTTGGTAGTTTGCCAAGGAAATTCATCTCATTTAAGTTATCGATGTTTTTAAATTTTTATTTTTAATGAAGTACCGTTGTTTTACATCCTTGTTAATATGTTAGCAGTATAAGATTCTGCTCCCTCCCCCCACCCCAGGTGTAGTCACCATAGCACTCCCAACCACCAAAGCACCCACAGTCCTCTACCATTGTCCACTGTGCTCTCCCCCTCCCCTCCCCAGTCTCATCCCTCCCTGTCCCCTTCCACTTCCCTCTATAGATGCCTCAGATCTATGGTCAGCTTTTAACAGTGGGTTTTAATTTTTTCTTTTTGAGCCTTTGTTCAGTTATTTTATATTCTGCATATAAGTGACACCATCCGGTATTTATCTTTCTCCTTCTGACTTATGTCACTTAGCATGACCCCTTCCAGTTCTATCCATGTTGCCACAAATGGCATATGAGTTTATTTTTTTCCATCACTGAGTAGTATTCCATTGTGTATGTGTGCATACACACACACACACACATCACATCATCTTGATCCAGTCATCTGTTTTTGGACACTTAGGTTGTTTCCATATCTTGGCTATTATAAAGAGTGCTGCGGTATTATGGGGATAAAGTTGTTTGTAATTTCCTTTGAAATGTGTCAAGAAATTTAGATAGCTTGCTAGATGGATAGAGGAGTGAATAGATATGCAAAGAGGCACATATAGTAAAATATTGATTTTATAATCTAGGCGGTGGATAGATGGGTGTCACTGATGCTGGAACCAGACTGCCAGAGTTCAAATTCCCAAGTTTTCCCATCTAAAAAATAGAGCTAATAACAGTATCTACTTTATAAGTTGGTTGTGAGGATTAAATGATGTAAATGTCTAAGACTTAGATCAGTGACTACCACATAGCAATCACCTTATAAGTGTGAGTTATTATCTCTTAAAGTAAGGGGAGATGATCTAGAAAAGGGACTGAAGCTAGGGTGCAGGGTATATACGAGAGCAACAGAAGTGTCAACTCAGCACAAGTCACTCTATAAGGGAGGGAGGTACAATACACAGGATGCATGACTTGGCAGCAGCTGTACAGGTGCACCTGCCTCCACTCCTGTGCTCTCCAGAGAGACACATGGGGTTCCTAATGCCTGTTAGACTAGACAGACCAGCCTTGCTAGGCCCTAGACTTTCAGACATGCAGATGGCAGTCTAGGGGCCACTTCATGCCCATTTTTCGTCCTGCCACCTGAACACCCCACCCCTAGCCCAGACAACCCACAGGATGGATTTGGACACCCCAGCTCAGATAAAGAAGGTAGTTGTGATGGTGGCTGCCTGAGCTAGGGCTGAGATCCTGTGCTTTATGGCCCTTGGAAGCTGTTAAGAACCAATACCAGCACACCAGCACACACTCATATCCCTCCTGGGTCGTTCTAGTTAGTTTTGCATAATATGATAATAATATTACCGTTTAGCAATGATATGAGATAAGTGATGACAGGATCCCCGATTTATAGCTGAGGAAGCTAAGGCAGAGTGAGATCTTATATCTAAAAAGTGACAAAGCCAGGATTCTAACAACATCATAACAACTAAAATGTTAGTGTCTGCTGTGCACCTGGTTCTTTTCTAGGCATTTTACAGGTATCAACCATTTAGTCCTCAGAGCAGTTAAACAGATCTCATATTATCATGATACACTGCTAAATAGTTGGGGCAAATGAGATAAAGAAAAGTTGGGGAGATTGCCTGAGGTCACACAGCTAGTGATGGGCAGGTGTGGGACTTGAGTCCCTATGCTAGCTGCAGAGACCAAGTTCCTAATTGTGCCACACTGGCTGTCTGAAAGCCAACTGCAAAACCTAGGCCCTCTCTGGTATGCAAGATGTCTTCCAGCAGAATAACTTCCACTGGGGTAGCAAGTTCCCATCACAATCCCCACACATAACAAGACATGGAAATAATTGCCTCTTGGGTTCAAGCGTGCAGGCAATTCACAGCAACCTAAATGAATCAGGAAAAATGGTAAGGTGCTCCTCGTCCTGGGAAGGAGGTTGGGAGTTGCCATAGGACTTTGTTTGGTTTGGCTACTGCTATTTACTGAGCACTTCCACGGGGCTAGACAGGGCTTGGACAGGAAATCCTGGCTTCCACTGTGGCTGAGCAAGTAATAATGTCTTTGCGGGCAGAGACATCTCACAAGGGTGCTGAGGCCGAGGCTGAAGCGCCCGTGGTTAGCACTCCTCTAACATACAGGCAGCGAGGCTCCTGTCCTGTGAGAGCAGGAGCTGGGAACCGAGCCTCAACTTTTCTCTGGTCCCTAGCCTCCAGAGCCTCCTGTGCGCTGGGCATTCTCTCTAGGCCATCTCTTTAGCCTCACTACTGTGAAACCAGCAAGGCTGAATGGCACAGTCTTTATTTGCCAGATAAGAAACTGAGGTTCAGGATGGCAACATAACTTCTCTCCAGTAACACAGCTAAAAAATGTCTTAGCTGGTGTAGCAGACATCACGCATTTTAGTCCCAAAAGGGAGGCCTACTGGGGCGAATGTAATAAAGCTTTGAAAGTGTCCAATAAGTGCATTGGAGAAAGAGGGAACTTGGAAGATCACTGAGGTTAAGGAAAAAATGATACATCTCCTTTAGGCTAAGCTCCAAGTCACTAGATAGAGAGTTCTGGATGCAAAATTGGGGGGGGGGCATCAAAGGCAAATTTGGGTAAGTTTGCAGCTAGAATAAGAAGGTGGGGACATTTTTACAAATGGCACACATGACATGGGCTAGAGGGAAAACAGTTGTTGGGGCAAAGCCCTTAAAGAAAAAAATGCCCAGAGTAAAGAATCTTGTAACATGGAGAATTTGCTGGAGATTTGCCTGTCTCAGCCCCCAGCCATGGATCTGGGAAGAGTAAGAGGAGGCCCTGCAGTCCAAGGGAGTGCTGGCATAGTCCTCGCCATCTGCTGCACCCTGAGAGAGGGTTGCCACAGTGGGAGCTTCAGGCCTCAAAATCCCCTTGAGGGCCGTCTTCCAAGAAGATGCTTTCTATGTTGGAAGAGGCAAGTGGAATGAACAGGTTCATCTGGCAGAACAAAAAGACCTCCTTTGCAAAAGCCAGAGCCAACAGCAAACACACTAAACTGGTTTTTAACGTGGTTTGGGAAGGGAGTGGAGAGAGAGAGGGAAACAGAGTTTCTAGACCACACTGTCCAGGTTCCTGAGTGCTGCTCTGCACTGCACACCCTCAGCAGCTCCACAGGCCTCGTGGTAGAAAGGCAGACCTACTGGTACATATTTCTCTAGCCTGCGTGGAAGAGTGGAAGGAACCTGCTAGGTGACCTGACTGGGGACAGACTCCTAACCTCCTCATATTTTTAAGGCCATCTAGATACCTGGCTGCTCTGAGCTCCCTAATTTATCAGAATTTTGCTTTGCAGGAATTTCCTGGGGACAAATGGAAACCAATAACAGGAAACAGGAAGACCAGCCAGTCAGGGAGGTAAGTGACCACTCAGGGATTTGGGGTGAGTTGGTGCCTCTGATGCTTCTATGGAAATTGTTAAGATCTTCTGTTTACTCAGTTTCCTTTGAGGAAACCAATCTGGTGTCTGTACAAAGGGTTTCATAGCTGTAATCCAGCCTGCCCTCAGACAGCTGGGCTACAAACCAAATTGAGCATTAGGACATTTGGGATATGTGTCGTCAGGCAGAGTTGTGGGACACCGTGCCATCAGCTCAGAGACCCAAGGCAGGCCTGCCTAGGCACAAAGACATAACGACCAGACCATGCCACATACATAACGAAGAAGGCGTGAGCTAAGCCACTGTTCCCAGCAGCCCTGCACAGGTAGACAGGGCAGAAAGGAGGTAAGATCGACCAGCACTGCTGTGCCTCTGCCTCAGAGCTGTTGGGGGTGCTTGTTTCTTGAGTTCTGCCCCCTTCCTTTTTCTAGAGCTTGTGCAGAATTTAAGGTTTGCTCATTAAAAGCGCAGGGGCAGATGCTGTTAATGGTGGGATAAAAGAATGCAGACAGCAAGGGCATTTTAATAAATGACACAATTTGCTGAGGCAAAAAGGGAAAGCTTTGCTTGGGCACACCACTGAGGGATAAAAATGCCAAGAGTGGAGCATCTGCTCCAGTAGTGCAAGCACCATGGTGCCCAGCACACATGTTCCCTACAGAGCAGCCTGCCTGCCACTGGTGACTGCGAGGGAGCAGTTACCTTCTCTGGGCTGTTCTCTGTCAGCCTGGCGGGAGCCTTTTTTATGAAACTCCTTGATATACTTTTTCAGTCATTCTTTCTCCAGGACATATTATACAAGAGGCCCCTGAATTATATTGATTCTTTAACTCAAACTCCAGGAATGAAGCAGGGACAAGGAAGAAGCCTCTTCCTTTCTGGGCAGGCAGAGAATATTACAGAATGGACATCTAAGCTGTACCTCTGGGGGGTACCAAGGGAGAGGACCAGAATCAGAGTCTCCTGACCCCTGATGAGTCCAGGGTTCTTTGGGGAGGGGTCTCCATTATTCCCCTGTGATTTGGTTGCATTATTCTCCTGTGATTTGGCTTTCTTTTGACTCCAGAGTCTAGGAAACTCTCATTTTGTTTCTTATTGACAAGGGAAGAACCCAACATTTATTGATGATCTACTACACATCAGTCACTGGGCTGGATCTTTTTACCCCTATAACTTTATTTATTTATTTATTTGTTTGTTTAAAGATTTATTTATTTATGCATACAAGAACTGGGGTACAGGCCAGAGGTGTGGGGGTGAGAGGGTTCACCAAAGACAGAGTGGGGAGCAGAACAGGCAGATTGACTGAAATACACTGCTAAGGGGAGCAGTGGGCAAATCAGGAAAGGTCTGCTGTGCCATGTGGGTTGTCCCTGGCCAGGGATCAAATTCATGCTGCAGTTGCTGTGGATAGCTTCATAGGTTGCATCTTAACCACTTGCGCCACCAGGGAGGCCCTATAACTTATTTATTCTCCACCACAGATCATTTCTACTGCATATTTCATAAGTTAGGTTCATAAGGATATAACTTACCTGGGTTCACACAGCTAGTAAATGATGGGACCAGGATTTGGACCCAGGTTTGTTTGGCTGCAAAGTTTATGCTTCTATTAGGATCCCTAAGAAAATCCTCCATGGGGGTCACTCAGAGATCTAAGGCCTGGGTGGGGATGCTGTGGGATGCTATGGCTGGCCTTGACACCACTACTGTGGACTAATATGTACCATATCCTTGGAAAAATCATTTCAGTCTAGTGGATCTGCTGAGTGCCCCAGATCTGAATGAGACCTTTAAGAGAAAACCACACCTTAGTGATAGCCTGAGTCTCTGTGACAAAGAGGAGTTGTTCAAGAGGAACTTATCATTTGCTTGTTAAATGAAGAAACAAAATGACTCTAATATTATAATGCTAACTACAATTTCTTCAGCACAGCACTCTGTTCTAGATGCCATTCAAAGCAATTCACCAAAACCTTAAGGGGTGGGTACTACTAGATCCTTCATTTGATATAGAGAGAAATTGAAGCACACACAGATAACTGTTTGCTTTAAGTCTCATAACTAGTAAGTTGATAGACCCAGGCAGCCTTTCAGTATAGTGCTTCTCTGAAATGGTTCTCTCACCAATCAGCCAGTGAAGTCAGAGGATTTCATTTTTTTTTTTTTAAAGATTTTATTTTTATTTATTTATTTATACAAGCACTGGGTACAGTCAGAAGTGTGGGAGGGTGAGAGAATTCACCAGAGCCAGAGCGGGGAGCAGAGCAGGCAGAAGGACCGAAGTACACTGCTGAGGGGAGCAGCGGGCAGCAGGAGAGGTCTGCGCTCCATGTGGGACCCTCCTCCGGTGGCCGGGGAGCAGCCAGGGATCGAACCGGTGCTGCAGAGGCCGCGGGCAGGTTTGCAACCCAGCGCTCAACCGCTGCGCCACCGGGGAGGCCCTCAGAGGATTTCATTTAAAGCCTAGTGTAGGGACTGTCTTTTTCCGGCAGGCCGAGAATATTACAGAATGAACATCTGGAAGCACAGTACCTAACCACCCACAGCTTGAGCAAGGAAGACTAACCCACACAAAGTTAAGTAGCAGTAATAATAAATTACCATTCCCAAAAATAACCTATGGGCCACAAGCTAAGTTACACATACTATGTTATGTTTTACCCCAACTGTCAGGTAGTATTGTTATTACTAGAGTAATGGTTCTCAAGCTTGAGTATGCATCAGAAACACCTGGAAGGCTGGTCAAACCACAACTCCCAGAGACTGTGATTCAGTAGATAGGGAGTGGGGCGCAAAACTCTGCATTTCTAACAATCTCCCTGGGTGATACTGAGGCAGCTGGTCCTGGGATCACTGCCTTTTAGAACCACTGACTCAGATAAAGAACCCAAGAACTACTAAAGAGAGAAGCCAGGATTGAACCCAGTTTTCGTTTACTCAGCCAAGTTGTTATATGATGAAAAGTGTTAAATGCAAGGTTTAAACAAGTGGCTGGCACATGGATTGGGGCCAATGGATGATAAATATTATTGTGCCCTATTTATCTTCATTAGTGGCCAAGAAAAGTGGAGATTGGAACCTACAGGCAGAAAAGCTCAAAGGGGAAATTAAGCAGAGTATGTTAGAGGGATAATCCCCACTGGTTGAGAGTTCTGGCCTTTGAATCAGGCTGCCTGTGTTCAAATCCATGTTCTTCTATTGTCTAGCTGTGTGAGCTTAGCAAGTGGCTTCCTCTTACCCCACCCCCTCTGTTTTTCACCCTTCTTTCTCTTTCACATGACCCATCAGATTCTTTATTTGTAAAATAGGGTATAAGAGTACCTACCTCCTGTGGTAGTTGTAAAGATTAAATGAGTTAATATATGAAAAACATTTAGAACAAAATCTGGTATAAAGGATGGTTATGATGATGATGAGGAGGAAGTGGAGGAGGAGGAAGAGAAAGAAGAGCAAGAGTAACAGCAGCAGTAGCAGCAACAATAAAAGTGATAGTAGAGAAAAAGAGTGAGTAATGAAGTGCTATATACACCTTGAAAACTACATAAGAACACGGAAGCAATTAAAGGTTAGTGGTCAGCTAAGTGACAAGATAAGTGTGGCATTTTAGGTGACTTGGCAATATTCGCAGCCTAGATGGTTTTTAAACTAATTAGGGGCAGTGATCCAGGCATGAAAGTGTGTGGCTCCAGATGGGGAAGGTGGAGGTGCAATAGGAATGGAACAGAAGGGATAGATGAGTATGTGTACTATTGCGAGGGAGAAGGGGCTATTTATTCATTGTGAAAACAAAATTACAGGAAATTAAAAACAGAAAAAAAATAGCCTTATTCCTACCACCCGGACACCCTGATTGTTTTCATCTCTCTGCTTTCTATTATCTATAGGTAGAGATTTGGGAGGCACTGCTATATTAACTATGTAGATGTGATTCTGTGTGTCCTGATTCTTTTGTTCCCACTGAGCATTACTTGGTAAACAATTTTTCATGTTGCTATAGTTATAACATTTAATGTCTGCATAATATTTCACCAGCTTAATGTGCTCTAATTTACTTAATCATTCCCAAATTGTTGGATAATTAGATTGTTTTCAATTTCTTACTATTATAAAGTAATGCTGCAGAAAAAAAAATTAGTAGCTATAACCTTTTTCTCATTTTGAATTATCTCATTAAAAACAATTATCTGGAGTTGAGTTTACTTGCCAAAAGAATATGAACATTCTTATTCTTCTTGGCAGATTTCACCAAACTGCTTTCCTAGGATGCATTTTATACTGTGTTAGGTATATATGAGCATACCAGTTCCCCCCAAATTTTGCCATCAGGGAACATTTTCTTTATCTGATGTGATAGGTGGAAATGGTACCTATTACAGTTTTAATCTGCTTGCTTTGATTGTTCTAGTTTGAATGCTTCACGTGTTTATTGAATATTTGCACTGCTTCTCATATGAATGGTTGGTCTGTTCAGATTATTTGCTCACAGATACATTACACCTTTTGAGGGAGAAGTAGAGAGAAATTGGTGACTGGATCTTGGGAAAGAAGGAAGACAAAAGTAGCTCTGAGACCCAAGAACTTGGAGAAAGCCATGGACATAGCTGGGGAGATGAGCAGAGGAGATGGTTTGGTGGAGATGAGAAGATTGAATTGGGATGGGCTGAATTTGGAGTTAATGAGGGAGACAGTGGATTCTTTGGAGGAGGCTTGTAGTTCCTACTGCCAGAGGTCAGGGTGAGGAAGAAGAGCCAGCAAAGGAAACTGAAGGGGCAAGGAGCTCAACTGGTAGGAAAAGTAGGTCAGCACACCATCCCAGGAAGTAACGACGAGACAGCTGCTACTGGCTTAGACAGTTTATAATCACAACTGTCCACCAAGAAAGCAAACTAAATAAAATGGTGGACATAGAAAGTAGGTGACATAATGGTCTACAAGAAGGATGCAAAGAAAAGAAATGCATGCAGCTTTACACAT